ATATTGTAGGCTGCAGTCCTTGACACTCTGCAGCAGGCGCTTCAGGTCCTCTTCAGTTTCAGCAAGCAGGGTTGTGTCATCCACATAACGCTGATTGTTGATAAATCATCCACCAATCTTGACCCCACATTTCTCCTCATAGAGCCCAGCCTCCGGGATAATCTGTTCTGCATATAGGTTGATAAGGTATGGAGATAGGATGCATCCCTGGCAGATGCCCTTCCCAATTTTGCACCATGCAGTGTTCCCTTGCTCTGTTCTGACGACTGCACACGTAAAGAAAATAATAAAAACTAAGGTGTGCCTGATCCAAGCTTTGATCTTTTCAGTTATTTTCTAAGTTGGACAAAGAAGAAAAAAAATGACAGAAGAACTGATCCCTTTGAATTGTGGTGCTGGAGAAGAGTACTGAATATATATCTCATGGATGCCAAAAGAACAAACAAGTCTGTCTTGGAGGAAGTGCATCCAGGATGTTCCTTCGAGTAAAGGATGGTGAAACTTCATCCTACATGCTTTGGGCATGTTGTCAGGAGGGTCCAGTCCTTGGAAAAGGACATCATGGGGGGAAGACCCTCCACAATATGAATTGATGTAATGATTGTAACAATGGGCTTGAGATCTCTGATATCAGAGATGTGAGCATGGTGTAGCATAGTATTAGGTTCAGATTTATTGTTCAGAGTTGCTTTGAGGCGTGTGTGACTAGATAGTACCTAACAACAACACACTCAGCAAGTGACCCCAACAAATGGCCCAGGTCTCTGCATTGCTTCTTGTAATCCTTATCTTTAGCTGTCTCCTTATCACTAAATATGTGGGAGGAGGTGAACCAAGGACCACCCCACAGTTTAATGATCTTCAAGCTGAACCACCACCACCTTCCAGAAAATTTAACTTCAGTTTTCCAGTCTTGTTATTTAATGTTCATAAACACTTGTTATTAGTCATACATTTGTGTATTTAAATATATTTTTATAGTAGTTATCTTTGCAGTTGTAAAAATTTTGTATTAAGCCTTTAATGGAATTTGGAGAAATTTACCATCCTGTCAGAGGGATTCATGGTAGGAAAAGAGGGGGGATTGGAAACCCTCTGTAAAGGTTTTAGAGAGGGAGGCCTCAGCAAGATGGATTGACATGGTACTCTAACAGTGGGCTCAAGTATATCAGAGATGGTGAGGACAGCACAGGTTAGTCATAGGACATAGCTATGAGTCATAGTCGACTCAGGGCACATAACAACAAAAAGTTTTAGAGCTGTTTATTCAGGTGCTGTGTGATAACTCTGAAGGCTTGCTTTGGGGTCGGGGGTTGCGCTGGCAACCCAAATGGTAGCGGCTCAAATAAATCCATAAGCTGCTTCTTCAGGGGAAAGAGACCGTCACCTCTCGAGCCATTTACAACCTCTGAAAACAATTGGATGTTAGCCAGGACTTGGTTTCGCCTCGACATTAATGAGAGAGTGAGTTTTATAACTAAAGCTATTGACATAATGAAGTTGGAATTAGCCCAAAGTCACACAGTTTTACGAACTTGTAGAGCCAGCGCTTGCATCCCCGAGTCTGGTTCCCCGACTTTTGTGCTTTGCTGATGGACTCAGCGATCCGTGAATCGGCCCCTTTTTCACCCAACCTGGGGAAAATCAGGAATCCACTCTGATTTGAACACAAAGTATTGGGCAGAATCCCAGCCCGTCTCACAGGTCACTGGGTCACCTGCCAGGGGCACCGCCTCCTAGGAAGGCCGCGGCGCCCCCTGAGCACTGGGCGGGCTCTGCGCTGATTGACAGGCGCTGGGCCAGTGGCCGTGGCAGCTCCGCACCTGGCCGGCCACGTGGGTCCAGGTGTGCTCCGGCTCCGCCCCGGCCCGCCCCGGCCCGCCCCGCCCCGGGCCTGGGTGCTGGGAGCGGAAATTCCTGCGCGGGCGGGACACAGAGGGCGCCCTGGGAGCCGAGCGGGTTCGACCATGGAGCCGGTGACGACCTGGACCCCCGGGAAGGTGGCAACTTGGCTCCGAGGTGAGGGGCGCCGGGGCAGAGGTGGCCTGGGGTGGGACACTAAGTGTGAGGCGCGTCGGCCGGTTAAGTGAGAAGCAGGGGAAGATGAGAAACGAAAAAGACCTGCTGAGTCTGTCAGTCTGTTAGTCAGTCAACAAATATTTGTAGAGCGTCTGCCGGGTATCAGATTCTGTGCTGGGCAGAGGGACGGACCAGGTGACCCTGGAGGCCCGAGGGTCCAGAAGTGGGGGTCACCCATCTCCCCAGCATCCCGAGTCCACCCGGGTGGGGCTGGGGAGGCTGCGCTTGTGTAATGAAAACATTCAGAGGGAGGCCCCGCGTTATCGCTTTCATCTTCCCGGAGCCCCAGGGCCCTGTTGGCTGTTATTAAACCCATTTTCTGCAGAGGAAAACGTCGCAAAAGAGCCAGGAAGTGATTTGCTCCCAGGCTTTGGACCGGGACCAGCTCTGGCGCTTTCCCTTCTCCCACCCTGAGGTTCTCGGGGAAAGTTGAAGGAGTTGATACTGTGGCTCATCGAGGCCGAGGAGATGCAGTTCCCAGGCTCAGCGATCCTCAAGTGGAGCCCCTCTGGCCGCAGCTGGCGGGTGGAGTGGTTTTAAGTCGGGAACTCCCTCCCAGAGAAGGGAGCCGAGTGCCCGCAGCAGCTCCAGGCCCCAGTAAGGGCAGTGATTCCTGCTGGAGTCAAACTTCAACACTGAGTTCCACACTCGGCTGTGCCACTCATCAGCTCTCTGGGCCTCAGCTTCCCCATCCATAAAACATAAAGCTGAAAAGACAGCTTTAACTGCAAAGAGTGAACCAGAGGAGACTACCAAAGGCAAAGGCCTGTATATATGCAGCTCTGTATCATCGGGAGAGAGGGAACCCAATACTTTCACGGTTCTTGAATAGGGAAGGAGTTAGTGTAGGGTCCAGGCAAGGGAGTTACAGGCTTATGAGACACCAGCATGAGGGTGAGAAGGTGATCACACACATTTCCTTGTGAAAGCTCAGTGTGGGAAGAATTTCCTCAAGAGTGAGCAAGCTACTCGGTGTCCCTGTAAAATGGGGATATGGTTCCAACTTTCTATAGATGTGATGAAAATGAAATATGTTAATATGGGTAAAGTTCTTAAAACTTTCCCTGGCACACAGTACTAGCTGTGCTACTATCCCAAAGGCTTAAAGTTAAAATCCACAGCTGCTCCATGGGAGAAAGATGGGCAGTCTCCTCCTGTGGGATTTACTGTGTCTGGAAATCTGCTGGAGGATCAGCTATGGGTGGGTTCTGATTCAACGGCACACAACAGCAGTTTATTTTTTGAATGTCCGCCTGGTACTAGGGAGTTCTGCTTTTGTAGTGTTTGAGAGCTAACCGAAAGGTCTGCAGTTTGAAACCACCAGCTGCTCCACAAGAGAAAAAAAATGTGACTATCTGTTTCCATCAAGATTTACAGCCTTGGAAACCCTATAGGGCAGTTCTACTCTTTGGTGTCAACGGGTTTGAGTTGGCTTCCCAGGCACAGGCTGGACATTGAGGGTCAGGAAAGGATGGTTGTTCAGGGCCTGTTTCTTGAAGAGCTCCTGATAAATTGGGAGAGGCAGATGTTCAATCAGGCAGTCCCAATGCCAAACAGCAAGTGCAGGTGGCTATGGGGTGCAAAGATGTCGACTCTTCTTTCATACTTTGGACATGTACCCAGGCGAGTCTGTTCCTTAGAAAGGGTTATCAGGCCTGGAAGGATAGAAGGTCAGTGAAGGAGAGGAAGATGAGATGGGTTGACACACTGACTTCAGCAATGGGCTCTAGTTTGTCAGAGATTATGAAGCTAGCTCATCCTCAGGATATGGCAGAGTGCAGGTCAGCTGTTCGAACATAGGGTCACTATGAGTCATACTTGACTTGATGACACCTAATAACAACAATATAGGAGAAAGAGCAAGTTCTGGTGGCCTAGTCTATAGGGAGTTGCACTACTAACCCAAAGGTTAAAACCCACCAGTGGAAACAAACAAACAAACAAAAAAACAAACAAACAAAACCCACCAGTGAGAGAGCTCTAGTGGTTTAGTGGTAAAAATCTGTGCTGCAATCCCAAAGGCATGCAGTTCGAATCCTCCAGATCCTCTGCTGGAGAAGGAGGGGCAATCTCCACCTGTGCTGTTAGGATCCAATTCAATGGGACACAACAAGGAAAAAAAAAAAACCAAAACAAAAACCCCACCCCTGGCTCAGCAATCTCATTCCATGATGTTTACACTCTTCCAAAAGCCCTTTGTCCTCCTTGGAGGCAAGAATAGCAAAGCTTCATCTCATACATGTTGGGGTATGTTGCTATGAGAGGTTATTTCTTAGAAGGGGACAACATGCTTGGAAAGGGCGAGGGTCAGCAAAAGAGAGGACCCCCCTCAGTGAGACAGTTTTGACACAGTGACTGCAGCAGTGGGCCCATGTGTGTCAGAAATGATGAGGATGGCACAGGATAGAACAGGGTTCAAATTTCTTGTTCATAGGGTCATTCACTACTAATCGTACCTGACTTGCTGACATCTAACAATAAAAACAAAAACTTGCTGGAGGGTCAGCTGTGAGTTGGTAGATGACAATAAGATGGAAGCAAGAGGAAAGGTCCCCAAGCTAGTCTGGGAGTCATGGGAGGCTTTCTGGAGCACAAAGAAAGAAGGAAGTGAGGGAGGGAGGGAGTTAGAATAACATTTCGGGTGAAAGGAGGAGGACCCTGAGACAAAAGAGAGCTTTGCAGGACCTATAGGAGCTATGAGGAGTTAGTGCTCTGGACATGAAGTGCTGTGTTTGAAGGGTTGTGCTGGCAGATGAGGCTGGCAAGACAGGCAGTGGCTGGATCTTAAGGGCCTTGTAGGTCAAGACATCTGGCAACAGAAATATAATGACTACTATTGACAGTCAAACCAAGAACTGGGGCAAGTGCTTGACATGTATCCTGTAATTTATCCTCACATGATTAGAAGGTAAGTGTTTTTATGATACCCATTCATAGATATTGAAACTGAGCACAGAACAATTAAACAACTTGTGCAAGGTCTAGTCCTAACTCTATATTCAGGGCTCTTATTCTCATTATCAGTAGTCCCAGGTGGAAGGACCATCAGAATTGTGTGGAGGGTTTCCTAAAACCCAGACTACGGGGCCCCATTCCTCTGATCCAGCAAGTCTGGAGTTAGTTGTTTTCATTGTGTACTTTTGTGTCAGAAATGGCCCACAGCTGACCCTCCAGTGGGTTTTCAGAGGCAGTAGGTGATTGCCCATCTCTCTCTTGTGAATTCAAACCATGTACCTTTCTGTTGAAGTCTGGGGTAGGACCTGAGAATTTGCATTTCCAAAAAATGCCCTGGTGAGACTGATGCTACCAAAATGGAGACCACCCTTTGAGAACTACTAGTCTAAACTACTTTTCAATTCAGTGGCCACATTTTGAAATGGGTAGAACACAGCCCAAGGAGCTAAGGATTCTCATTAGGAGCAGACTGATGGGGAAATGGCTCTGCACCAGTCAAAAACTGGCCAGAGAGGTTGTGATGCTCCTTGCCCCTTTCTGTTTTCTCTCCAGGCCTCGACGACTCCCTGCAGGACTATCCCTTTGAGGCCTGGGAGCTGCCGGGCAAGTACCTGCTTCAGCTCTGCCCCCGCAGCCTCCAGGCTCTGACTGTGTGGCCTCTGGGTCACCAGGAACTCATCCTGGATGGGGTGGAACAGCTCCGGGCTCTGGTGAGTGGGGGTGGCCACAGTGACTGCAGCATCCACTGTCCTGGGGGTTGTAGATGGGCCATAGCCCCTGCCAGGGAGGTCACCTTCCCACTCGCCACCACAGAGCTCTGGACTTCAGACAGAGAACCTGCAGAACCTGACAGAGGGGCTGCTGGCGAAAATTCACACCTTCCAGACCTTGGTCCAAGGCCATCTGGAGGCCTGCGCCGAGACCCCTGCTGATGTTCTCAGTGCAGCGGTGGACCTGGTGCAAGAGGCTCGTACTCTCCTTTTCTGGCTCAACAGGTACCTCAGGCTCCTCTCAGGGCCTCAGATCAGATGGCTGGTGGAGGCCCTTCTCATCCTTGTCTCCTCCAAGGTGTTGAAGGGCCTGGGAGATAAAGGACTGGGCTCTGCTCAGCGGTGGCAGAGCAGAGCACTGTCTGCATGGCTGCTTGGATACCAGAGTCCCCTCCAGCTTGTTCCTGACAGTCATACCTACAACCATTGCCAGAGTGCTTCCCCTACCCTTTCACTGGCTGTTTCTGCTCATTCTCCAGCTCCCAGCTCAAGTCCCTTCCTCAGGGAAGTTACCTAGTCTCAGAGCTCCCTGTACTTTACAGCACTCAATACAGTTGGAGTTAAACAACTTCTGATGTAATTGAGTATTTAATGTCTATCTCCCTCATGCCTAGAATATAGTAGGCGCTTGTCTCAGGTGACATTCAGTAGAGGTGTAAACCATCTCCTTTTAACAACAACCCCTCAGAGCAGGCATCACCCCCCAGTCTCAGATGAGTAAACAGTGCCCAGTGGTGAAGGGAGTTTATTGTGAAGCACAGTCCTTTAATCACTGTTCCCTTCGTTCCCCTCCCAGGTACCTCTTCTCCCACTTAAACGACTTCTCAGCCTGTCAGGAGATCGGGGACTTGTGTGGGGAGCTGGGCCAGGCCCTGCAGGAGGTAGGAGACGCAGGGGCTCACTTGGCCCAGGAGGCAGAAATAAAATCAGGCTACAGCTTTTTATAACCCATGAATCAGCATTGGATCGGATGTGAGAGCCGGGGCGAGGCAAGGACAGGGAGAGAAAACCCAGTTGCTAGGCATAGGACAGTGGTAGCATGGGGTCTCCCAAATGACAGGGGGAGCTCAGAAGTGGAGGTGGGAGAAAGGTAGGTGCAGTGGCTTCTGGGAGACTGGTATTGGGAAGCGGAAAAAAACTCAAGAGGCCAAAGCTCTGAATCCTCATAGTCTGGGTCAAGGCCTGGACTTGGGAAGCAGGGAGAGACTCTAGGGAGTCCCACTTTCCCCCCAAGAGGAAGGAGCCCCCCCTTACCCCCCAAGAGGAAGCAGCCCCCCTTACCCAAAGTGACCGTTGCTCTCTCACTTTGCTTTCAGGATTGCCCGGTGGCTGAGAAGGAGAGCCGAGTCCTGAGAATCGTGAGTGTGGGAGGTGGCACGGAGTGGGGCTCCAGGGGACCGGGCTCAGGCCAGTACCTTGTTTTTCGTTCCCTTGTTCCTCTCTCTCAGTGTAGCCACATCGCTGGGATCTGCCACAACATCCTGAGCTATAGTCCCAAAGAGCTGCTGGAGCAGCGGGCTGTGCTGGAAAGCGTGCAGCTGGACGATCCCTTGGTGAGGACTGGTTTCTGGCCTCTGACCTCTCAGTAGCCTGGACTGGGCCCTGAATTATGGCTATCAGATTCCACAGATGCCTCAGTTGTTACGGTTGAAAAGCCTTTTTACACAGATATTAAAGTGAAGCTCCAGAGCTCATCGTCATTCAGTACCTCCCCTGTCCTGAGAGGCTGCAGCTAGTGTGTTCTCAGGTTCCCTCAGCCCAAAAGCGCAGACCTGGCATAGGCTGAGGGGCAAGATAGGGGAGATAAGGATTTATCATCTGCTTTAATCTTTGACCTGTGAGGGAAATCAAACCACTAGCCCTGCTCTGGTCCTGCCCAGCTCTGTCCCTGCTTATCCTCAGCAAAGTTGCTAAAATTCTGGTGCTTCAGAAATTACCGACTTCAGTTTTCCTCTGGCTCTCAGAGGCGGCGGCAGAGGTCCAGAAAGGAGCAGCAAACTCAAGTCGTCATTGTTGTTGTGTGTCGTCAAGCTGGAAATGACTCATAGCTGACCCTCCAGCAGATTTTCAGAGACTATAAATTGCATGGGAGGAGAATTGCTCATCTTTCTCCCGTGAAGCACCTGATGGATTAGAATTGTCTACATCTGGCAGTACAGCTTCTTACCACTAGGCCACCAGAGCTCCCCACACTAAGTTAGTTGTTATTGTTAGGTACCATTGAAGTGAGTATGACTCTTAGCCTCCCTATGAACAACAGATCTATCCTGTGCCATCCTTGTCGTCTCTGACATACTTCAGGCCATTGCTGCAGTCGGTGCAGCAAGTTAGGGTAGGGCCAAATGGGGGCCAGCTCTTCCACAGCTTACCCTACCTGAGTCTTGGCATCCAGCGGGGTCCTGTCTGTTGGTCCCATTGCTGAGCTTTTGGTGATGAGCCTCCACCTCTACCTCTGTGCAGGGCTTGGAAATCCATACCACCAACAACTGTCTTCACTTTGTGTCTCGAGTGAGTCCCTCGGTAAGAGCCCACCCCTTCTCAGTTGCCCACCCCCAGGCCTTCTCATCTACCAACCCATCTACCAACCTGGCCAGCATCTGGTCCCAGGAGAGTTCACTCTCAGAACACTGTTCTCTACATCAGCTCCGTACCAGCTCCCAGCTGCAGATCCTGCCTGGAGACGAAGTTGTCCAGGTCAACGACCAGGTGGTGGTGAGTGAGCAGAGAGGTTTGTGGTGGGGTTGGTGGGGGACAGAACCAAGGGCTGGCCAGGGTGACGATGGGCCCAAGGATTCTCATGGGAAAGCAGAGTTATGGAACTGCCTTCCCTGAGAAGAGCCAGCTCAGGGAAGCTAGCGCAGCTTGGCAGAGCTAAGGTGAAGGGCTCCTGGGACTTCCTAGAGGAGGAGAAAGGTTGAGCCGAGGCAGAAGGTAGCGAGCAAGTTCTGAGTGTGAGGAGAGTTGATGTGTTTCCTCCCATCTTCTTGATGTCTGTTTCTCCCGCCCTGTCCCCAGGTGGGCTGGCCTCATAAGAACGTGGTGAGGGAGCTGCTTCGAGAGCCAGCTGGGGCCAGCCTGGTGCTAAAGAAGGTTCTGGTGCCCGAGACCCCTCCACAGGTACCTGTTCCCCCTCCTCCCCTTCGCCACCCTATCTGCTTTCAGAGCCCTTTTGTCAGCTCCATGACATTGTTTCTGGTTGTTCCTCAGACTCCTCCTCTGGCCCAGGTCTCCCCAGAGCCGCTGGCTCTGCCCTCACTGTCACCCAGGTAGCAGGCTCTACCCCTGGGGGTGTCACTGTGGGGGAACTACTGGCATACCTCATCTCCCTTTGCTCTCTCTCCCTAGTACCGTCCAACAGGAAGTCTTTGCCTTTGACTTGTCTTCAAATCCAAATCCTGGGCCCAGCTCTGCCTGGACAGGTAATTTCAAAGCCCCATTCCAGGTGGCAATGTCCCAGGCAGTGCATCTGGGTTGCCTGGCTCTGACCTCTGAACCTTGACCTCTCCCTGGGTCCTGACACTGGGCTCAGGACTTTGTTCAGCTCTCATCCTTCCCTGACAGACTCTGCCTCCCTTGACTCTGAGCCTGTGTCCATCCTTCCACCATCCCCAGGGACAGCAGAGACCCCAGAGCCCCCAGGACACTCCGAAAAGGTAAGCTCAGGGACTCAGCAAGCGTCATGGGGCTCCAGACCTACGGCCCTTCTCTAATTCCTCTATTGTCCTTCTAGAGTCCTATCCCTGGTCGGAAAAAATCAAAAGGTATGTTATGCACCTGACTGGATGGGGTCCCCATCTGGATGGGCTCTTAGAAATCCTTACAAGGCTGGTTGAGAGCCGCCTTGCCCCCTCTTCTCCCCTCCCCTCCTCCATGTACACATTTCATGCACAACCTGCCCTGAAAAACAGCCCTGCCACTGTGGCCAGACAGGCCTGGGCTTCTGGTCTGGTTCCGCTTTGAACCAATGACTTATCCTTTCTGATGTTCAGTTTCCTCATCTCTAAAATGGAAAGAATCACTTCAGAGATAATACATGTAACATGATCACTTGGGAATGCTCTTGGGGAGTGGGCAAGGGAGACAGCTTGGAGTGCAGGGTGCCTTCCAACCAGAGAGCCCTTAACTAACCTGGCTGTGCCATGCTGTGCAGGCGTGGCGACACGGTTGAGCCGCCGACGGGTGTCGTGCCGGGAGCTGGGTCAGCCCGACTGCGATGGCTGGCTGCTGCTGCGCAAGGTGCCCAGCGGTTTCATGGGCCCACGCTGGCGCCGCTGCTGGTTTGTGCTCAAGGGACACACACTCTATTGGTACCGCCAGCCCCAGGTGAGATCCTCCTCCCAGGTAAACAAGCAAGTCACCTCAGGCCCTTGTTTCTGTCCCAGTTCTACCACCCACTCCCATCTGTGGTTATAGGTTGGCCCCAGTGTCCCCATCTGTGAAATAGGAACAGTCCACAGAGGGAGCCTAGTTAATGAGCGTCAAGGGTATCTCAGGAGGGGTAGGAATCATTTTAATATAATTAGAAGTGCAACATTCTACCAACTATGCCACCAGAGCTCAGAATCCATTTTATTCTGACCATTTCTCCTTCTTCTGTTATTCTTTTCGTGGTCGTAATAGACTAACCATTCAATCATTTATTCGTTCATTGTGTACCTATTGTGTGCCCAGCTCTGGGTGGGGCAGTGCAACTGAGCATGTTGTTTGTTGTTATGTGCCATCAAATCACTTGCGACTCATAGTGACCCTATGTCCAGCAGCTCTGAACCCGGCTCTGTCCTGAGCCAACCTTATAGTCTCTGACAAACCCCCATTACCCCAGTCACTTAGTCAATACATCTCATCGAGGGTCTTCCTCTCCTGCCCTGCCTCTCCACCCTCCCAAGCATGACGTTCCTCTCCAAGGACTGGTCCTTCCTTGCAACATGCCCAAAGTATGTCAGATGAAGCTTCAGAATCCTTGACTCCAAGGAACATTCCGGCTTCACCTTCTCCAGGACAAACCTGTTTGTTCTCCTAGCAGTCCATGGTACATTCAACACTCTTCTCCAGCACCACAATTCAAAGGCATCAGTGCTCCCTCTATCATCCCTAGTCACTGTCCACTTTCTGATGCATAGCAAGCATGTAAAAAAGGATTAGACAGTACCTGCTATTCAAGAATGAGAGGATAGAAGGGGAATGAGAATGAACACACATTTGGGGACAATGTGGGAGACATATGCTATGATGAAGGGGAAACTTAGGGGCTTGTGGGAGCCCAGCAGAGGTACCTGAGGAACTGAAAAAAACTTCCCAAGAAAATGATGCCTGAGGACTAGCCAGAGGCGAGGAGGGGAACAAAAGCCTCCTTCCCAGGGTTTGCAAAGCTCAGTGGTATCAATGTGTCTTGTTAAAGCAAAGAATGCCTGGCAAATCCCTCTGTCTTGGCTGTTTATCTGGGTATCTTTGTGCCCCATCCCCCCTTATTGGCACAGAAGCCCATCCTATTATGCAACAATGAATATTTTCTTTTTTAAAGTGAACTGGGCTGGTAAGGAGGAAAATATGCAACAATGAATAAATGAAAATCCAACTTTCTGTAAACTTTCATTAAAATAACACACATACACAAAAGAAGGAATACCTCCTTCCCTGCCCCAGATTCAGCCTGAGCCCCAGGCATTGCGTGATGAGCTAAAGAGCCCAGGAGACTCCCTCTCACCACCCCACTCCCAGGAGCTCCATGGGTAACTAAGGAACTGACTGGGTCCCAAGGGTGTTGGGGTTCCCAGCTGACCTTCATGCTATGATCACCCCAGGATGAGAAGGCAGAAGGCCTCATCAATGTCTCCAACTACAGCCTGGAAAGTGGACAGGATCAGAAGAAAAAATAGTAAGTCCTCGTGTGTGAAGGGCTGGACAATGGGGCTAGCATTCTCCATCCAGCCCCTCTGGGCGGCCCTAGGTGGGAATGGCCAGGCGAAGTATGGACTCTGTCCCCCTGCAGTGTGTTCCAGCTTACCCATGATGTGTACAAGCCCTTCATCTTCGCTGCTGACACCCTGGAGGACCTGAGCACGTGAGTGTCCTCACCCTCAGCCACTAGCTTCTAAGAGTTTAGGGGAGACTCAAGAGTCAGTCCCCTAGTGGCTGGTTAAGGCTCTCACCTTTCTTAGGCTGGTTTCCTCATCTAGAGAGTGAGCTAATCCAAGCTCCTAGTTGTTAGAGTTGCTCCAAGAATTACATTAGAAGATGCTGTGGGTAAAAAGCCTCCGACATACAATGTTTTTGTTAGGTGCCATCCAATGACTCTACACTCATAAGTAACAGAGTAGACCTTTTGCAGGGGGTTTTCTAGGCTATAATCTTCATGGGAACAAATCACTGTGTATATTTCCTGCATAGCAGTCTTCAAACCACCAACCTTTCATTTTATAACTCCATGCTTAGATATTATGTACCCAAGTCTCCCTTGGCAAACAGTAAGCTTCAGTAAATGCAAACTGATGACTGCAGTTCAGTCTGTTCTCTGACACGCGCTTGCTCTCTCACAGCTGGGTGCGCCATCTCATTACCTGCATCTCCAAGTACCAATCTCCAGGCCGAGCCCCGCCTCCCCAAGAAGAAGGTGGGTATCCCACAAGAATGGGTGAAGGGGCACCCAGATCTCACATGAGCCTTTGCCTTTTCCTGAGATGGAGCCTGGGAACTCAGATGCCCCAACATTTCACCTGGCCTCCCCCAGATCCTCTAAGAATTAGTGATTTCCCCCAATGCTTCTACCCAGATTGCTACAGTGAGACGGAAGCAGAAGACCCTGATGATGAGGCTGGGTCGCGCTCAGCCTCGGTGAGTAGAGTGCTGACTGGTGATGGCTATTAGCAGGGCGTCAACTTCAATCCAATACCACCCTTTCCTCCCCTGCCTACAGCCTAGCCCAGCCCGAGCTTGGAGTCCTGTCCATGGAGACATGTCACCTGCAGCAACCCCCACACAGGGCAGCCCGCGAACTTCCTTCGGCCTTCCAACAGGTGCTGTGCTGGGATCAGGAGCTGGGATAGGGGCTGTTGTGGATACCCCCTAATCCTTCTCCCCTTCCTCCACAGACAGTGGTGATGGAGCATTAGAACGAATGGTATGGGGGCTAAAACAGGGCGGCGTGTCCCTTTTGGGCCAGCCACAACCCCTCACCCATGAACAGTGGCGGAGCTCCTTCATGCGGCGTAACCGAGAACCCCAGCTCAACGAGCAAGTGCACCGGGTGCGGGTGCTACAGAGCACACTCAAGGTCAGTTGTGGGGGAGCCTGGGCATGCCAAGGAGCTGGGCTCAAGGCTTCAGGCTCCCACCTCCACCCTGGTCCAGGCTCAGCTCTGCGCTCCATGGTGCCAAGGAGCTCCATGCTGCATGGAAGGGCCAAGTTCTAGGTTCTGAGTTGGGATGTTAACTACTAGACCTCTAGCAGGAGGCTCTAGATTCAAAGATCTGGGCTAGACTAGGCCAGGTGCTGGGTCCTAGACACTGTGCTCCCGGGTTAGCTCTGACCTTGAGCTCCACCCTCCTTCCTGGGCGGCCATGACCCTTTTGCCCCTATTCCTCTCCTAGGCAAAGATGCAGGAGCTGCAAGTCCTGGAAGAGCTGCTTGGTGACCCAGACCTGACTGCAGAGAAGTTCCGACAGTGGAAGGAGCAGAACCAGGAGTTGTACACAGAGGCCCTGGGGACCCGGACAGTGGTGCAGGCTGAGGGCAGCTCTCCGGTCCTGACCTCTGACACAAGAGAACAGTCCACATATCCCCTGCCCTCTGACCCTGAGGAACACTCCCATCTGTCTTCTGCCCCGAAAGAGCAACCTCCAGCCTCCTGACCACTAATCCCAAGGACCACCTCTACTCCTAGTCTCTGACATGTGCCTCTCACCTGTCTAGGACATCCTAGAGCATCCTTGGGCTGTGTTGGAGGCTGGAAATAGCACTAATCCATGGTTTCATGTCAAGCTAAACCCCTCATTCTCCTGGAGTGGGGTAAAATAAAATGAGCTTTGTGCCACTCTCCTCCCTTGCCAAGAAAAGAGCAGGAGACCTGGCCTAAAAGAAACTCTCTCCCCCAATCCTGCCCTCCTCAGTCCCTTGTGTTTCTTCCTCAAACTAGATCTCTACAGATATTCTGTTTATACAGATACACTTTCAACCAAATAAAAGTAAATTTCTCTAAAACCAATCTTTATGTGCCTTTGACTTCCACATTACAGTCAGGGACTGGGATAAAAAGCTTTTAGACTGAGGTGAACATCTTGGCCAAAGGGTAAGTCCACTGTGCGTCCATTGACTTGGGCCTTGTCCTTGGAGCTCCCAGCCTGTCCAGGGGATGCACTGGGGACCCATGGCTGGTGAGGACCTCAATCTTATCATCATCTCTCCCTAGCACTTGGAGGCCACAGGGGACAGAGTTAAGGGGACACTGAGGTTCATGTTGGGAAGGGTGCTGATGCCCAGGGATACTGTGCATAGAGGGCACGGTGGCTAGCCCTGGAGCCTGAGCAAGTGGGTTGTGGTCACTGGTGGGAGGTGTGTAGGCTGAGTTCTGCTTGGAGGAAGGCCTGAATGAGAGACCTTTCTCTTCTCCCCTCATCCCAGTCTCACCTTCAACTTCTGGACTCAAAGTAAATCATCCAGTCTGGTAAAAGACCTGATTTCCTCCATCAACCTCTGGCCTCTGACTCCAGCCCAACCCTTCAGCATCCTTATCTTCCTCTGGATTCCTAGAAATTGGGGCAATCAGAGGAGCTTCCCTCTGGGCTGGAATTCCTCAGTAGAATGTGGAACTAGAGTTCACAGAAGCCTCTATGATATCACCACACGAGGGAGCTAGGCCGCGTGGAATGAAGTTTTTTTTTGAAGAGGAGGAGGAGACTGAGCAGCTATGAGCAGCATTAAAAGGGCCTGGTGGCAGCAGTGGACAGACACCAACATCAGACCTTTGTCCATCTTGGTAAGTGGCTGCAGCCTGCCTCCACTGCTGGAGCTGGGCCCCCTGGGGCAGGATGACATGTGGCAGGAACAGGGACTATACTGAGGGGCTCTCTCCTTACCCCTGTAGAGGACTCGGCATGAGCCATACAACAGGCAGGAGGAACAAGTACTCATCAGTCGCCAAGATGTCAACAGTAACACGGTAAGGCTGGAGGGGATGCTCTGTATTGTCCCCTCTCCAACAATGACCCTTCTGTGGCTGTGGCTGTGGCTGTGGCTGTGCCTGTGGGATGGCAGCCTTATATCTCTCCCCTGGCCCCATCCACCTTCTTAACAATCCCCTAGAAGCTCTTCCCCAGCAATCATCCTTGTAGTGATCTCTCTCACAAAGTCTGTTCTGTCAATGCTCCTGAAAGATCCCCTATAAATGACTCTCCCATAGTTATCTACCAGCTGTTGTTTTGTGTCATCTAGTCAACTGTGACTCATAGAGACCTTATAAACAACGTATCTGAACCTGGCTCTATCCTGTGTCATCCTCACCATTTCCAATATATTTGAGCCCACTGCGGCAGTCACTGTGTCAATTCAATGTGTCAGGGGTCTTTTTTTCCTATGCTGACCTTCCACCTTTCCGAGCATGATGTCCTTCCCCAAGGAATAATCTCTCCTAGCAGCATGACTAAAGTATGTGAGACAAAGCTTTATGATCTTTGCCTCCATGGAGCACTTTGGCTGCACCTTCTTGGAGACATCTGTTTGTTGTTTATTTGGGTTTTGTCTGTTTATTTTTTTGTTGTGTACCATGGAGTCGATCTGACTGGCACAGGAGCAGATTTCCCCTCCTCCAGTGGAGCATCTGGTGGATTTGAACCACACACCTTCAGGATTGCAGCACAGCTGCTAGCCACTGGACACCAGAGTTCCACCTGTTTGTTCTTTGGGCAATTTATGGGATATTCAATACTCTTCTCCAGCTCTACAACTCAAAGGCATCACTTCTTTTTCTGTCATCCCTATTCATTGTCCAAGTGTTTGAAAATACCATGTCCTGGACCAGGCGCACCCCAGTCCTCAAACTGACATCATTGTTGCTCAATAAGTTGGAAAAGTCCCTGGCTACAGACTTTCCCAGTGCAATATGTGTCTTCATCTCCTGACTGCTGGTACCAAATGTATTGATTATGGATCCAAGTAAGAGGAAGTCATTGACACTTTCAATATTTTCTCTATCATGATATTACCTATTGATCCAGTGGTGAGAATTTTTGTTTTCTTGATGTGTTTTCTTGCTCTGCTCATATAGCCTTTGGTGTAGTTATAGGTTTCCCACAAACACAAGCATTCTGGGATTTCCATTCTTTTCAGTGTGAGCCATAATTTGTGGGGTTTTTTTTTTGTTCTTGTTATGTACCATCGAATTGGATCCAACTGACACAGGAGGAGATTGCCCCTCCTCCTCCAGCAGAGCATCTGGTGGATTCAACCCGCCTGCCTTCAGGATTGCAGCACAGCATCTTGCCACCAGGCTACCAGAGTAATAATTTGTTTTTATTCACACAGCCAACTGTCTTTGTTGTTGTTATTATGTGCTGTTGAGTCACTTGTAATTCATAGACCCTATGCACAATAACTCTGAATCCTGCTCGATCCAATCTCACTGTCTTTGACACACCTACCCTCATTACACCAGTTATTTTGTCAATCCATCTCATCCAGGATCTTCCTCTCCTTGTCCTTCAACCCTTCCAAGCATGATATCCTTCTCCAAAGACTGGCCTCTCCTGGCTGCATGACCAAAGTATGTGAAACGGAGTCTCAAAATACTTGCCTCCAAGGAGCAGCTTGATTTTGCCCTCTCCAGGACAGACCTGTTAGTTCTCTTGATAGTCCATGGTATGTTCAAAACGCTTTTCCACTACAATCCCAGAGGTTCACGGTTTGAATCCACCAGATGCTCTGCCGGGAAAGGAGGGACAATCTCCTCCTGTACCAGTCAGATCTGATTTGACGGTACACTCACACACAAAAATAATAAAATAAAAAAACAAAACAAAAACTCTTTTCCAGCACCACAGTTCAAAGGCATCAATTATTCTTGTGTCATCCTTGGTCATTGTCCAGCTCTCTGTTGCATAGCACATAATTGAGAAGACTATGGCCTGAATTAGGCACCTTAGTCTCTAGACTAATATCCTTGCTCTTCAGCAGTCTAGAGAGGTCCCTGACAGCAGCTGATTTCCCTAATGCCATTCGTCTTTTGACTTTCTGACTGCTGATGGGAAGAGGTTGATTGTGGCACTGAGCAAGCTGAAATTGTTAACAATCTCAATCTCTTCTCCATCTATCATGATGCTGCCAATTGGCCCCATGGGGAGAAGCTTTGTTTTCTTTATATTGAGCTTCAATTAATATTGCAAACTACAGCCCTTCACTCTCTACAGCATATGCTTCTGGCCCTTCTTAGTTTGAACAAATAAGGTTGTGTCATCTGACTAACATAGATTGTTGATGAGTCTATGCAAACATCTTTGCATAGTTAATAAAGCTCAAATAGACATTCTTCCAGTATTCTTTACTTTCAACCAAGATCTATCTGATGCAAGCAAAATTATCCATGGTGCCACAGCCTCTTCTAAATCCAACTTGAACTTCTGGCAGTTCTCTGTCTATGTACTGTATTGGTGTTTTTTAAATGATCTTCAGTAGAATTTTGCTTTTATGTGATATTAATGATGTTTTCAATGATTTCCACATTCTGTTGGATCACCTTTCTTGGAATTTGGATCAAATATAGATCTCTTCCAGTCAGTAACTGTCCTCCAGATTTCCTGGCATAGACTGGTGAACATGTCCAGGTCTGCATCTGTCATTTGAAACATGTTAATTGGTATCCCATCAATTCCTGGTGCCTTATTTTTTTGCCAAATTCTTCAGTACAGCTTCATCTTCTTTCTTCATTACAGTTGGCTCTTGATCATGTGGTACTTCCTGATATTGTTCAGTATTGGCTAATTCTTTTCGGTACAGTGATTCTGAGTGATACTTCCTTGATCATTCAAGATTGCCCATAGCATCTCTAAGTATTTTAACTTAAGTCTTGAATTTTTTTTTTTCAGTTTGAGAAATAGAGAGCAAATTCTTCCCTTTTAATCCTCCAATTCTAGGTCTGTGCATATTCTGTTAAAATACTTTGCTTTATCTTCTTGAGTTGCCCTTTAAAATCTTCTGTTCAGCTCTTTCATTTGAGTATTTCTCCCCTTTATTTTGGCTTCTTGATGCTCTAGTGAAATTTTTTAGAGTCTTTTCTAACATTCATTTTGGTTTTTCCTTTCCTCTCTATCTTTGTAATGAATGACCTTTTGCTCTCTTCATGGATGATACCCTTAATGTCATTCTACAAATCATCTGGTCTTTGGTCATTGGTGTTCGATCCTTCAAACTGTTGTTAAGATGATTTTTAAATTCAGGTGGAATAGACTCAAGGTCATATTTTGGTTCTCGTGGTCTTGTTTTCATTTCTTCAGCCTCATTTTGAACTTGTACATGAGTAATTGATGGTATCTTCCACAGTCAGCACCTATACAGACCCCCAAAAGAAACTCCCTTACAAGATTCCCCTAAAGAACTCCCAGCAGTGACCTATTTTCTGGACCATTTAGATTGTGACCTTTGCACTGATGTCCATATTCCACAATCCCATCTCGGGCAACTCTCACCCCCCTAAAGTCACCTTCTCTGGGACTCCCACTCATTGAGAACAATGTACAGACAAAAGTCTCCTAGGGTGACACTTGTCTGAAGAAATGTTAACTTTCTTCTCCCAGGATGCTTGGGACTTGCAGGAGTTCATCACTCGCATATATGTTAAACAGCTGCTCCAGCACCCAAACTTCCAGCTGCTGCTGGCCTTGCTGTTGGTGACCAACGCCTTCACCATTGCTCTCCGCACCAACTCTGTCCTCGGCCAGGTGGGACACCAGCCTGACCTCCGCCCCCTCTGACTCCGCTGGAAGGCCTGAGGCAAGGCACTTCCCTCTCTCCGTCTCAGGCCCCTTCTCTATCCCATGGTGGTCATTGGATGCTCTTCAAGCACTGTCAGCTCTGATCTTCTAGGGTTTTAGAAAGAGACTAGGGAAGACTTCATGGTGGAGGGGGCTTTGCAGCCTGACTTTAAGAAATACATTGCATCTGTAGACGAAGGGCAGGCGAGGAACAGTGTGAGCTGAAGCAGGTAAATAAATGGATTCAAGCATATCAGAGATCATGAGGATGGCACAGGATAGGACAAAGTTAAAATCCATTGTTCCTATGGTCACTGTGAGTCATAGTCAACTCAATAGCATCTCACAACAACAACAACATTTTGGGGGATGGCATCCAATTTTCAGGCATCAACAAAAATCTCTGTGCCAGACATTGTGCTGATTGCCAATATGTTGTTGTGTGTCATCAAGTAGGAACCGACTTATAGTTGACTCATAGCTGACCCTCCATTGGGTTTTTAGAGGCACAGCAGGAGATTGGCCATCCCTGTCTCAAGGAACAGTGGGTAGATTTGAGCCACAAGCCTTTGAGATTGCAGTGCAACTTCTTACCACTAGGCCACCAGAGGGCCCTGATTGCCAGCACAGCAAACCCAATTCTTGCCTCAGACAGCTGTAAGCGTGTCAGAACAAATGCCGGAGTGTCACACAAAGAGTCTGGACGAGCTTAAAGAAGACAACTGAATCTCCTCTGGGAGGTCATAGAAGGCTTCCTGGAGAAAGTGATGCCCTAGCTGAGAGTGAAAGATGAGTAGGGTTTGGCCAGGCAAAGAGACAGGGGAAGAGTGTTTTGGGTAGAAGAGACAGCATGTGGCACAGTGCTACATGTCCAAATACCATGTAACTTTGATCTTATCTTTGATACTTTAATTTCCTGTAAGTAGTAGCTACACACATGAATTGTGCTATTTAAAATAAAATATTTTCTAAATCTAATTCATTGCCTTTGAGTCAAAACAGACTGATAGCTAGCTGACCCCTCAATGAGGTGTGGTCGCATGAGAGGAAAGTGTACATTTGAGAGGTGTAAATCACATGTAAGGAAATTATCCAACCTTCTCCCTGCGAGTGCTCGTAGATTTGAACACAATGGCTTTGTTAGCAGTGTAACTCCCTATAGACTATACAAGCAAAATTCCTGCCACCAGACTCAACAGAAATGAGTTTTGAGAGGATTTTTAAAATATTTGTAAGGGCTTGATTGGACATTATAAATCATTATATTAATCTATAGTAATGTTATAAAATAAAATGTCTATGAATGACTGGATAAAAATATGTTGGATATAATATTCTTTGTATATTTTCACTCGAAAAGGAAAAATCCAGTGTGGTAGCTGATGAGTTCATAGGGGACCGATCAGTGGTCAAATTATTCAAGGTCATTAAACTGAGGAAGACATCTTTTATCCTTATGTCAGGAAATAGGAAAACATTTAAAGTATAGAACAGACATTGAAGATGTATTTTAGGGGAGTTCTGGTGGCCTAGTGGCAAGAGGCTGCACTGTAATCCCAGAGGCATGTGGTTCGAATCCACCAGAAGTGCTGCTGGAGTAGGAGGGGCAATCTCCTGTACCAGTCAGATCCAATTTGACGGTACACACACAAAATATTATTATCATTTATTATTATTATTATTATTATTATTATTATTATTATTATTTAAAAAGGTATTTTAGAGAAAACTTAGGACTGCCTTAGCATGGAAGACGATAGGACATGAACTAGGACAGTAGCAGTGAGTGTAAAGAGTTAGATGCATTTGGGAATTCTGTGGGAGTTGAATCTAAGGACCTTCTGAATTATTAATGCTAACACGTAGTTAGCACTGACTATGCACCAGGCACTGTGCTAATAATGTGCTTCACATATGTCATCATCTCTTGCATGTAGAGAAAGAGCGAAAAAAGTTGAATTTCTGACTTAAACAACTGTACAGAGGCTAGTGCTGTATTTTGGGACAAGGGGACATAGAGGGAAAAGCAGGTTTGGGGAGGAGGTGCTAGGGTCTGTTAAGTTGTGTTGTATTTAAGGTGCCTGTGCAATATCTAGACTACATCCCTGGAGTTGGATGTAACCTGAAAGTCTACAGAGGGTAGTAGCTGGAGACAGATATGAGATGGAGATGCAAGTGTGAGAGGTGTCAACTTATAGGGTGACTGTTGCTGACTCTTAAGAGAATGACTGTGATTGCTCTGGAAGAGAGTGTTGAGAAAGCACAAAAGGCCAAATCAGAGCTTTGTGGAAAGCCTCCACATAAAGGTGGAAAATTGAGGCAAAGGTTAAAAAAGGTCTAAGGGAGAGTAGCCAGTGGAGTGGGAGGAAAACCTGGAGTACATCATTGTAAATATTGGCAACAGGGTCAGTGAGGCAAGGATTGTGAAACATCCCTTGGATTTAGCTGTTGTAACTTTGACTACTTGGCATATGATTAATTTTAGTTTGTATCAAATTCATTTGGTTGACAAATCCATTATCTGATTTTTGTTTTGTTTTTATCTTGAAAGTGGTGAACACTTTCTTCTAGGAGATTTTATTCTGAGACTAAAGAATGCTGTTTACGTTCTGTGTGTTTGTTTTATAAGAAGGAAACCTGACATTCTTAAATTAGTGGAAGTAGCACAGAACTAATGAAAGATCTTGGGCCCATCACTTGTTAGCCAGATATGAATGAAGTCAGTCCCTGAACTGTAAAGTGGAAACATTTCTCTTTCTTACTTCATTAGATTATTGAGAGAATAAAGTGATTACTATTAACATTTTCTGAATGTGTGTTTTTTGCTAGTCATTATTCAAAGCACTTTATTTATTTGAGAGTTCTGGTGGTTTAGTGTGTAAAGAATTGTCAAGTCAAATGCAAGCAGTTTGAAGCACCAGCTGCTCTGTCAGAGGAGAATAGGCAATCTCTTCTACAATTTACAGTTTCAGGAAACCTGCTGGGGGGTCAATTATGAATTGGCTCCCACTTGCTCATATGTAACGACTTAGACAAGAGCTGTCTCTGATGTGATGGAGACCAAAACCCAATTGTAAAGATTTACAGCATTAATAGAGTGGTGGGCAAATTCCAACCCATTGGTAGATCAAGACATCAAGGCAAAGTATAGAGTACCAGGATATTTTTTTTAAATAAATTTGTATAAATACTTGCTTATATATGTATGTATAGAGAGAAAACAGGGAAGGATAGAGGGTTTGTAATGTGTGTGTAAAAGAGACAGAATAGGTTAAGATGTAAAATATAAACTATATTTCTTATTGTTCATCATAGCAAAACAATTGAAAACCATGGTGTCAGATAGGTGTCCATGAAGTTAAGATCCTAGAGCCTATGAATGTGAAACTTAATTTGAGCTTTTATCCTGCAGAGCACAGCAAGCCATGGAAGGAAGGCTTGTATGTCAGGAGGATAACTCTGATTTGGCCATGTTATTGCTGTATGCCACTGAGTCAGAACCAACCCATAGCTGACTCTCCAGTGGGTTTTAGGGAGATAGTTAATGTCACGGGAAAAGATTGGCTATCCTTCTTTCTCACACAGAGCAGCTGGTGGATTTGAACTGCATGACTTAGAGACTACAGTACAGCTTCCTGCCGCTAGGCCAAGTCAGGACTCTTTCAGAGACCTATTGTTTCTAGTGCCCAGGAGAATGAAACTGAGGTGAGACAACGTTCTTCTTTGTTCTGGGCAGACATCTCTGGCCTCTGACAATCCTTTGCTGATTTGGAAGAGGCAGGGAGCCTTAATTTATCATCTGGGTTTAAGAAGCTCCACTCAGCCTGGCATGAACCAGTAGATGAGTAGTAGCAAGTGTGGATAAGCAGGAAGCCTCCATATGTGGCCTTGTGGCACTGTGTCTTTTGGTCATGAGGTTAAGGCAAGAAGGAGTCAAGGTGACTGCAGTGACTGTCAGTAGAATTGAAGGGCTGGGGGATTAGTGGGGTCAAAACTGGCTTAATAGAATAGGATCTGGGTTGTATGATAATGAGATGGGTTTTGACAAACCACAGGCTTCTAAACCATTATCCATTCTTCTAGGATGTATCCAGAATTCATCATGTAGAGAATGAGGAGTTTGTTCAGGCTTGACCTAGGGGGTTTGTGGAGCTGGGTAGCAGAAGTGGTTGGGACAACCAGAAAGGGGAAGATGGAGCTTGATATCGTCTATCCTCAGGATCTAGTGCTTTCCTTCCTTATCTCCCTTTCCCAAATATCTTTTCTCTAGAGGTTAGGGATTCCTGAGTTGATGCAAGCAGTTAATGCATTTGGCCATTCAACAAAAGGCTGATGGTTCTAGTCTACCCAGAGGCACTTCAGAAGAAAGGCATCATGATCTATATATCTAAAAATCAGCCATTGAAAACCCTATAGAGAGATTTCTATTCTGACATACATTGGGTCTCCATGAGTTGAAATTTACTCAGTAACTCCTTAGGGATAGGGTGGTAGTGGTTAGAAGTTAGGAGCAAAGATTTGTAACCAAACATCAATCTTCGTCAGTTAGTTGTGTGACTTTGGGCACCTGATTCCTCATCTCTATGACAGAAACACATTTGCTGTACAGTTGTACACCTATTGAAAGTTGAGTGGATAAATATATTTGTGGTGTGTGTAGCCACTGGATTTTGAATTTTGAAAGATGGGTTCTTCTTGTTTTGGTTGAGGATCGGGTGTGGACTGGCTGGTTGGTGGTTTTTGTTTGTTTTTTTTTTTCACCCACAACCCTGTGTGAGTTGCTTGGATTTGCTGGATTTGGCTAACAATGAGCTGTTGCCTGGAAGCCTCTTGTTTAGAGCCTATCAGGGACTGGGCACAGGCCTGCATATTGAAAAGTCGGTTGGGCCAGAGGGCCTTAGGCCTGGTTTTAATTGTGTTTAGAATGAACATTCTTCTAAGTGGTACGGCACTAGTCTGTCAATTCTCTCTACTGAGGTAATTTGGTGTTGCTGTGATACTGAATGCTGTGCCAGTAGTGTGTCAAATGGCATAATGACCATGGTGGACAGTGTTTGGTGGAGCTTCCAGATGAAGAGAGGCTTGGAAACAGGAGTGGCATCCACTTCTTAAACAACATTCCTCTGGAGGTCAATGAACTTAGGAGAAACGACAAATAGTTATAGAACAGGATTCAGGTCTTTTGTAATAGGGTCCCTGTGAGTTGTGCTCAACTCCACTGCACTTAACAATAGCAACAATGTACAACCAAACACTTCATGGGATTGCTTCAATGTTTTGGAGGCTTAGATTCATGGTTTCATTCTGTTGTACCTCTGATTTCAGACTTTAGTGCTTGGAGTCTTTAAAGTGTGAAAGTAGCCATTCAGTGTCCAATAACTAGTCTCTATTCATCTGGAAAACAGAGGACAAAGGAAGGTCAAGAATAGGAAAAGAAACAAAATGTGTGTGGCTAATTCCCTCCATGAACAACTTTGTCTTGAGATCAAGAGAACTGTATAAGTGCCTGCTTACAATTACTAAACATTTTGATAAAAAATTCTATAGAAAAATACTGATCAAAATGGGGGAAATGCAGAAAAGAATTTAAAATTCTCACAGAATCCAGACTTTGTGGAGCTATAGTGGCTGGATACATCCCTGAAACTAGTGCTTTAAGATAATTTCCAAAACTAGAATTAATTCTGTGCTTAAAATCAAGCAATAGTCTAGATTAAATAATAAAAAAAAATAGTTTCTTTGAGCATTGTGCTCTTTTTAATATGGGCTCAAATTGATAACAGCAAATAAAAAATTATATACGAACTTTAGGAGATAGTGTTTATGGGAGTGGAACAACCTGGAAAAAGAGGGTAAGAATGAAATGTCTTGAATGGGCGTGATACTGTGTATATTCTCACTGACAAAAGTAAAAGAAATTCTATTTTAAAAATTTACTCTGCAAGATGATGTGGGTGGTAATGTGAAATGATATGTGTGTAGTTTTAGCACTTACCTGGTGCGTACATGGAATGTGCACTGTAAAGGGAGCAACGAAGATGTTAAGGATGAAGCGCGGCAGTAACACACGCTGGGTACACCGCTGGTGCCCTGCCCTCTCTCCATGCACTGACCTCTCTCCTACCCTCTTTTTCTCTGTTTCCCATGTAGAAACATTATGAGTTGTTCTCTACCATAGATGACATTGTGCTGACCATCCTTATCTGTGAGGTTCTCCTTGGCTGGCTCAATGGCTTCTGGATTTTTTGGAAGGTGAGCTCTTGAACTCCTCCCTACTACTGACCCTACTCCCTGGGACTGCCCGTACACCCTGCTCCTGCCCCTTTAAGCATGAATGAAAGTGTGTATGTGATGTGGGATAGTAGGGTGTGGTGTGATGTGGTGTGGAGTGGTGGGTTGTGGTATAGTGTAGTGTAGTATGGTACAGGGTAGTGTGATGTGTACTATAGTGTGGTGTGGTATGTATGGTACAGTATAGTGTAGTTTAGTGTGGTGAGGTGTGGTGTGGTGTGATGTAGTGTGATGTGGTGGTGTGGTGTGGTGTGTGGTGTGGTGTGTGCGGTATGGATTGTGTGTGTTGAGAAAGATGGAAACAGAAATAGACTTTCTGAGATGTGTCAGAAAATGAAACAGTGTAGAAATGCAATTTCTTGGCTTCTATTCTTTACTCCTGACCTCTCCAACTCTGTTATCTTGGTAAAAGCTTCATTTCCTTATCTGAAAAAATAGATTGAGGATAGTCATCCTAAGATAATGTTCTAGAGCAAAGGTTGACGAAGTTTTTCTGTAGAGATCCATGGAGTTCTGTCCTCAGCAATGTCTTAGTATCTCACTTAGATCTTTCCTCTTTCTCAACCCAATCGAGTTACCATAGGTAATTCTATGTATGTCAGTTCTATTACTGTGCTCCATAATTTTTTTTTAGTGTCTGATCTTCTAAGATACTCCAGGGTAGATCTGAACTGTCCACCTTTTGGTTAGCAGTTAGCAGCAGCACATTAACTGTTTGCACCACCCACAGAATCCAGTTTCATTCACATAATCTATTTATTTCCTCTTCCAGTCAGTTGGCCAAGCGGTTGTCCTTCAGATTTCTTGACACAACTTGGTGAGCACATCTAGGGCAGCATCCGTTAGTTTAAATACGTCAATTAGTATACCATCAATTCCTGTGGCCTTCTTTTTTGCCAAGAAGCTTGAATTTCTTCTTTCATCATCATAGGCTCTTGCTCATATGTTGCTTCATGAAATTCTTCTGTGTCTGCCAATTCCTTTTAGTACAATGATTCTGTATACTCTTTCCATCTTCTGTTAATACTTCCTGGATCATTTGATATTCTGCCTAAAGCATTCTTAAGTATAGCAACTTGAGGTTTGAATTTGTTCTTCAGTTCCTTGAGCTTAAGAAATACTGAGCGAGTTCAGCCCTTTTGATTTTCTGACTCCAGCTCCTTGCACATTTTGTTGTAATACTTTACTTTGTCTTCCCGCTCTGCCTTTTAAAATCTTCTGTTCAGCTCTTTAATATCTTAAATTCATCCCTGTGCTTTGGCTTCTCAGCACTCTAGTGCAATATTTATAGTCTCTTCTGACATCCATTTTTGTCTTTTCTTCCTCCTCTGTCTTTGTAATG